GGGCACAGCCTCGCTGTAGACGGTAAAATCGTGCCTCCTACTCGACATCTCAGTACACAAAGTATCGGTAGCATGAGGACTTTCCCACTCATGCCAACATGCAACATTGTATAAATTTCTAGCACAAATTAAGTAACAAGTTCATCAGTATGGTAAAAAAAAACATTAAATACATATTGTTTTTAAGTTCATGAAAAATGAAAAAAAGTATTACAAAGAGGTGAATGTCAAATGGTTCTACTTTTTATATTACTAAAGCACTTACTGGCAAAATTAATCTCTCAGATTCACTGAAAATTTGAAGAGTCAAACATAATTTTCCAATGTCTTGTTAGATATAACATTCACCATTTAGAGGCACAGAAGAGCTCCGTGTAGACATTGCTGTTTTCCCAAACAGATATTCTGGAACTGTTGTGTATGTATAAGATGACACAAATTTTGTTCGCCATCAAGTTTAATCATTGCATACAAGAGACAACATATTATTATATACAAAAAAAACTTGACTACATTTAATAATTTAAAAGTGTACGAAACTGTTACAAAAGCATAAATGCAAACTTGTGATGACTGAAATTTATGGTAACCATGTTCAAGTAAAAATTGACACTAACATGTGAATGGTAGTTTACAAGGTAGGGAATATTTATTACAGGTATCTACAGTTAGCTATTCCCGAAATCAAATATGGTTAAAAATTTCATACAAAAATGCATACTTGATACATTATTCGTGTTGTTTTGTCTCTGGCTACAATGCAGGATACAATAAGTTTATGAGGTTTTATTGAACTGAAAAGAATGCTAAAGTGTTTGTGATGATAAAATCTGCTTTATCAAAACCAAAGTTGTCAGCTAATTAGTGAACAAGTTTGCAATCTTGCTGCCCCAATATTGTTGAGACTTGGCTTTTGCTGTAATGATTTGGTATGATAATAGCAAAAGAGATTAACTTACTCAAAATTATAATAATGTTAATTTCAACAATCAAAGTTTTTATCCATTTGTAACACAACCTCTAATAGATATACTCTGTGGATGCATATGAGGGCTCCAACATCACTTTTCAAAGTTAATCATTACAACACAGTTATAAGCTAGATAACACTATGACTATGTGGTACAAATTTCAACTAACAATACACATATGATATACAGTAAATAAATAAGCAGTTCAGTGGCATTCAACATCTACTCCGATTCAACCCTTGCAGCAAATATAATAATCTGTTGCTCAACTACTTTGGTGATTTCCTCTTTAGATGCTTTTGGATTCTTCTTGATGTAATCAACTATTGCTGAGATTGCTGCTGTCTGTAAAATAAAAGTCAGTCGTGGATAATAATTTGTAAACAATAGACATAGTCCCACGATTGAACAATACAAGTCAATTTTGTAAAATTAGCACCTCTTTGTTTGTAAGTAAATACTTTCTGATGATAGACGCAGTCTTTAAATTGAAAGCTAAAATTCTTTCAAAATCAATTCCACCCGATAGAACATGGGAAAAGCGGAGTTCGCGATCAGTTTACACTACTCAAGAAAAAACAATGTGTTTATTGCGTGATTGGATAAAATACATTTGAACTGTTATCATCGTGAATCATGTAAAAACTCTTCTTTCAAGACGTCTTTTACCTTTTAAAAATTTCTAATCGCCTCTTTCAAAAACCATCATGCAGTTTTCATCTGAAATTCATACCAACACATCGTGCTACGACATCGCTTTACTTCCGCAATGTAATTTTTATGATCACGACCATTTGGAAAACTTCGGGTTCTACCGGCATTACCATGCGGCATTCTGATTCGTTACTGGCGTTTTTGACCCACCGGGTCAAAGGACACATGCCGGTCAACTAATGCGTCATAACTATCATGACGGGTCTGTGTTTTTCACCGAAGTGATCGAGTGATCAAAAATAATTTCTCCCGATGAAACTAGTTCAAATTTTACGTTTTTTTCATAAAAAAAAAAAGAAGTATTTAATTTTTGCATGGCATCATGACCAAGTAAGAGAAATTATTGGTATAACCGGTGTATAACATCGCAAAGTAAGTTATGTCACGTCGTAATTTTGATGATCGTTTGGAAGTGTTATTTGTTCGTTGTAGAAGCTGATGGTTGGAATAATAACCAGCAATCCGCCAAATAATTATGTGGTCGATTTTTTGAAGGAGAATTTTGTAGTAAATAAGATCATGAAAGTCGTGAACATAATCCTGGCTCAAACGTTTCAAATTAGTTTCATTTAACAATTTATTTGTTTCTTTTTAGTCTGCAACATTTGCATTTCGAGAATGTTAAATTTTTAAATTCAAACTCTTCTAAATTGTTAAACGTAATATTTTGACTCCAAAAAAAATATATTTGCACTGTGACGGAGCTCATTAATATTAAAAAAGTGCCCAAAATAAAAGTGCTTATAACACTGTGTGAAGCAAATAAATATCTGCCACTTTGTTTTTTAAAATATATGTTGTTTATTGTGTGGGTGTAAATGTGCATTAGTCAATTTCTATTATTATGCAAATTATATGCAAATTAGGTTGCCACAGTGGTTTAAATTCCTGGGGAGAACACTGTATATTATATTATAACAAATTGATATGAAATTTCTGGTAAAATATCCTATTTTATCAACTAATGGGTATCACTGTTTACAGTAAATCAAATTTCTATCAAAAATATAACAATACAGTATGTTAATAGTATACAAATAAAGC